ATAACCCCCCCCCCCCCAATGGACTCGCGAGACCCAATTGGCCGCGCAGATGGCGGCCACAAACTTGTCGTGATCGAGCGAGGTTAACGCCCACCTTGGCGGTCGGGTCGCCCCACTGCTGCGTTTTGAGAACACCTCCCTAGGGGAGACGACGCGGCGGATCTCTATATACCGGTGATCAGATCCGGTCTCCACCTCAGTCGCCACCCTCCATCCCTGAACCTGTCGGGCAGCCGCGGGGAAGGTCCAAGTCAGATCGACGATGGACTCCCCCTGCCACCCGACGAAGGTGCTCTCCCGGCCTCTGTTTTGTAAGCTGAAGCCGGTAGACGCAGCCCACTCCTGGAGGTCCGCGTCGCGGGGGCACGTCCCCGGGGAACCCCACACCATGTTGTGGGCGTTGAAGTCTCCGGAGACAATGACCGGCCTAGGGAGGCGCATTATGAGCGCCTCCAGCCGGTCCAACAGTGCCCCGAATTCAGCGCGGGTCCAGGAAGGCGGGGCATAACATCCGACCACATCTGTGGGTCCCCACTCGACCGCGATGTAGCCGGCCCCCCCCCCCTCGACGAGCTTCACCGGGGGGGAGTCACGGCCAGTCCCCCCAAAGATAGCCACCGAGCACCTACCTCTCCGTCCCTGGCGTCCCCTAGAATGGAGGACGATTGCTCCGGGACCGAGTAGGGCTCGGCGGCGACCCCAATCCCAGCGCCGCGCTCGCGCAGCCCTTGGACAAATAGGTCCTGGGCCGCCCGAGCGCGGCGCAAGTTGGCCTGGAGGAGAAGTGTACTTATTGTGATGGTACACCCTCCCTCTCCTCCAGGCCAACTCCCGCAATTACTGCGGGCTTCATAAAGGGGGAGCGGGACATGTTGCCCCCGCTTCCCTCACTATCAGCCCCTCCTTTGCTACCACTCTCCCTCCCAACCCTTCGTTGAGGTCTACTTGGGGGGGGGCTCAAATTCCTCCCCCTGGTTGGGGAGGGACCTGTCCCTTTTAGGGAGAGGGGGCGCGCACTGTTGCCCCCCATCGAGCAAAGGAAAGTGCCCATGCGGTGGCCACAGGGCTTTTTGGCGTCGCGGCAGACAGGGCATTCCACCTGTCCGCCGCATTCCGCTGCCCTGTGGCCATCCCGACCGCAGCGGTAGTAGAGTCCGCTGCGGTCCACCGTCGCCGTACAAGTTGCCCTCACGTGGCTCCGCTGCATGCACCTGTAGCATTGCAGCGGGCGCCCCGCGAGGGCCTCCACGCGGACGGTGGCCCACCCCACACGGAGGCGGCTACCGTCAAGTACTTTCTTGGCCGAGGCCAACGGGCACTGCACCCATGGTTCCAAGCCCGTTGGCCCCAGCACGGATTGCCCCTACCTTTATATCTTCGGGTCCGCAGCCCCCAGACGACGCGATAGCAGTGACGACATTCTCCGTCGTCACCGCGTCGTCCAGGTCACGGACCCGAATTTCAACCCTCTTCGCCGGTCGTGTGATGCACACTTCCTTCTCCTCGACGAAGAGGATCCTCATTCTCTTGGCCAGCGCGTCGGGCTTAGCGTGACTCTCCGGACCGAAGACCTCCAATACAAGGGCACCGGTTGCCGCTCTTTTAGGGAGGTCCCCGATCCCGAGGTCCGCCAAACTTCCCTTCTCGCTTGGTGCATCACTTCGGCGTACGTGCCCGCTGAGCACATCACCGATATAGCGGCCGAGCGAGGAGGTTTAGGGAGGGACGGAAAGGGCTTCGTGCCCTCCCATTTACCGCTCGCTCCTTTGCCTTCCGTGCCCCGGGCCGGTGCACACTGTCGCCGTCGCTCGGCCTCCGAGGCCGCCCGGGATGCTACCGAGGGGGCCCTTTTCTGGCCCCCCACTGCCCCTTTTTTCTCCCCACCACCGTGGCCCATATCTCCTTGACCGGGCCATCGGTGTGGGGAGCGACCGCCCACAGGAAGGCGCCGCCGAGATCTCGCGGCGGCTCCTCTCTGTACAGGCCAGTGGGCTCAAGGAGGGGGGCAAGGCTCGCCCTTCCTCCCCGCCGCCGCCCTGCATGCTCCTCTTCTTCTTCTTCTTCTTCTTTTTTGAAGAAAAAGAAGACGGCATCCCCTCCCTGTCAGGCACTGGCACCTTGGCCGTGGAAGGGGGCTGAGAGCAGCCGTACGTCGGCCCCCCGCCAAAGGCGCCCGCACCGGCGGCTGTTCGTCCGGCCCGCGCTGCCCCCGGGGGGCGTATCCGAGACGCGCCATGATCCGGGGAATTGCAACCTGTAATAGCAATTCGAGGGCAGTGCCCTTCTCCTCCCCGATCTCAAGGCGCGTCTCGCCATAACCCACAAGGGAGACCACTGCTGCTGTTGCTGCGACCTTTGCCGCTGCCGTCGCCCCCCCCCTGCCTGCCATCTTTGCCACTCCTGTTGCTGCGGAGGGGCGGCAACTCGCCCTCTCTGCTTGGGCCGGGACTGCTGTTGGCGCAGTACACGCCCCGTCCCCTGTGGCTGCTGTTGGCTGCCCTTGGTCAGTCTCCACACATCAGGGAGGAAGACGGTCTTCCCCCTGAAAGGAGGTCTCATGGCCAGAGGGACTTTACCGTCCCTCCGGTCCCTATCAACTTCCTTTCTGAGGTGTCTCCCTTATTCCTCCTCGTCAGTCCCACGGTGAGGAGGAGCGGATCGGGGACTATAGTTCCCGCCGTCCATCTCCACCTCCATGGGTGAATCACCCTCTGAGGGGGTAGCTGGGCAGAGGAATCACCCCGCCCCTCCTTTTGTTGCGGTGGGCTAATTTCTACTCTGAGGAGGAGCCCGACCTCGCCACCCCCGTCGGCCTGTTACGGCCGATGGCCATCCGGCAGGAGGCGCAGCCGCCCTCCCCCTTTGAGGAGGGAGACACCACTATACCTCCCGCCTTTTCCAGCCTCGCGATCCTGGTCCTGAGGAGGCGGTTTTGCGAGCCAAGCTCGTCGATCTCTCTCCACAGCAGGGCCTCCCTTTCGCGCACTGTGGAGTCGGTCCCAGACTCCGCCTGTCCGGCAATTCCCTGGGCCTTCACGGCATGCGTGGTACCGCAGGCCGAGAGTTCTTCGGCCGCCGTCCACAACTCGCCCAAGAGGGTGCCCTTAATATTGCCGGACTTCTGGGCCACCTTCATAACCGTGTCCATCGACTTATACATTCTGCTGGACACCTCCACCGTCGCAAGGGTCCTGTGGTCGCGGACTAGTTTTTCCGCGGCCCTTTGAGTCCAGTCCGCTCTGGGGCCGTAGGGCCTCCTGGCCTCATCAGTGGCGTAGTCCACTACCTTGGCCAGCTTTTTTGCCTAAATGGCCTCATTCTTTAAGGCCATTTGGTCGGCCGTGAATTTCCCCTCGTAAGAGGGGTCCTTGCACGGCCGACCCTGCTTCCTCACTCCCGATGTCTCGGGGGTGAGATTGGGAGCCGACGGGTCCTCGACCGTAGAGGCAGACCCACCGGCTGCAGCCTCCGGAGAGGCCGAAACCCCCTCCTCCTCCTCCACCGTGATTTCCGGCGGCCCATCCTCGGCTACCGTCCACTCTTGAGAGGACGCTCGGCTGTCCGTCGAGTCGTCCCTTCCCCTCTTTAATTGTCCCGCGCTGCCTCGCGAGGCCGAACGGGTCCTCTTCGGACTGGCAGTCGTCTGAGCCTGAACTTTAGCTCGAGCCTGGCCGCCAGGCCGAGGGCGCGACCTTGTGCGGCGCGCCGGTTTGCGCACACTGGAGAGCGGACCATGGGAAGACTCGGGAAAACGTCTCCGCATCCTCGGCGTAGACCGCTGCGTGGGTCCCAGCAGGGCTGGTGGACGGCCCTGCTCCGTGCGGTAGTTGCACGGTCGCCGGTGACACTGTTGCGTCCTGCTTCTCACTCCCCCCCCCCCCC